CGACGCTCTATCAAGGTCGTTTCACTTTCCCTTTTTCTCACTTTCACTTTCTTCTCCACTCTCCACTCCCCACTCCCCACTCCTTCAACTCAATCCTTCTGTGTTGTGTCTTTCTCGTTAACAGAAAGGCGAAACGCGAATGGACGCAGCCCTCGACGCCATGGAGCCCTTCGGCTTCTCTCGCAACCTCATCCAAAGCACCGTTCACACCCTCCTCAAAGTTCCTTCCTTTCAACCTAAATCATCTAATTTTGTTTCATTCCGTTCGATCCTAACGCTACCATACTATTTAATGTTTACTTGTTCAGGTTTATGGGGGCAGCACCGAAGGCTGGGTCTTCATCGAAGACTCTGGTTACGCTCTCCTTATCGACACGCTTCTTGAGAAACAAGCCAATTCTTCACCCCGGGTAACCTACTGTTGTTGTTCCTTATCCTCCAAGTAACTGCCGCAAACAAAGACGCACATAAATCATTTTTGCCATTTTTATGCATTTTCATTTGCTTCTGTTCTTATCTCGTTTTATATTGCTTCAATTGTTTATGGTTTATCTGGATGTGTTTTATGCTTTTTTTTTGGACTTGCTTGCTGTGATAAACTGAGTTAGACTTTGTCCAGCGGACCTCACGAAAATTTAACCACACTCTGCCTCTTGGAAATTAAAATGTTTATTTATTCTCTATCTAGAAACAATTGAGGTCCGCTAAAAAATGGGACAACAGAAGTACAATTGTTCTGTGTTTGATTTAGCAAAATATCATATAACAAGATAGACACGACAAAAGAACTAATTTTTGTCACTCAATAAATCACAGAACAACATTTTGACCAAGTACAAGATACTCAAAAGTAAGAAAAAAAACCCTTCTCATTGCGCACCACCGATGACTACTAAGGGTGTGTTTGTGTACACACTCAATTTCCTTTGAACGTCAACCTATCAAACTTTTTCAGTCACTTTTTGTTTCTAGGAATGTCTGCAATGAAGGTTTAAGTGTGTGTTTGTTTTATTGTTAAAATTTGACGAACGTACGTTGAACGGAAAAGATATAAATAGTTACTTTGTATTTTAGTGCTTTGGAAAGTTTGTTTTTATGTTTTCGTTAGAAAGACGGTTTTCCAAACACGCTTTAAATGATAAAACAAACACACCCTGAGTCCCCATTACTAGTGTCGTCACCGCAACCTTCATTATTGATGTCGTCGTTTTTGAAACTACCATCATTACTATCATCATCATTGTTGTTAACATCACCACTATCACCCGCTATTACCACAATTGTAATGTCATCTTATTAAAATAAGGAAACTGCTAATTAATATTAAGAAGAAAACTAGTATAAATTTTATATTATTTTGTTGGCCTTTTGGCCATGATAAATAAAAAATAAATAAAAATTACTGAAATAAATTTAAAAAAAAAAACTATTTACCAAAATAAATTATTTTGGACACGTCGGAGAGAGATAAATCAGAAGAAAATGTCAATACCGATGGCGAATGCAATGTGCAATAGAAGACGTCAATAGCATTAACGTCATTCATGCAAAAAAAATTTAAACATAAAACGTCAATAACTTGGACGTTTTGCATACATCTCTCTCACATTCCGCAATATCTGTTCTCTCTGCATGTGTTGTGCGGTGTCTCTGCATGTGCTCCGTGTTGTGATGTTGTTTGCATTTGGTTTCATGTTTTATGTTTAAAATTTTTTGCATGAATGACGTTAATGCTATTGGTGTCTTTTATTGTACATCGAATTCGCCATTAGTGTTGACGTTTTCTTCTGATCTATCTCTCTCCGACATGTCTAAAATAATTTATTTTGGTAAATTGTTTTTTTTAATTTATTTCAGTAATTTTTATTTATTTTTTATTTGTCATGGCCAAAAGGCCTATTTTGTTTGTGTCATTTGTTGTTAGTAACTTGAGCATTTACATTCCTTGTTTTGTACTTGGTGTTATCATACACACCTTTGAGCATATCCAACACCCAGTTTCAGTCATTAGTTCATTTAATCCACAGTTGAATGGTATGTAATACGTCGGGGCTTTCACAGGAGAGTTACATTTTTATTTTTGCCTTTTGTAAGCTTCATTAGTTCTTAGCGTATGATGTTTCTTGATATTTTTCTGTTTTAAAGTTCCTTTTTGCTTCTTTTCATTGAACTAACCTACCAATTGGGGGTTTCAGACTGAAGTTTACTTAGCTGAAAGAGAATAGAAACAGATAGCAGATCATGTTTTCCCAAATTCAATCTTTTTGGATGATGTTATGGGTAGCAATGAATTGGTTTTTATATATGTCCTTCACCAACATAGTGTGGTGTAGTTGGTAGATAATTATGCCTTTTATGCATGTGGTTAAGAGTTGGATCCTCGCGTATATATGGAATAACATCTATAGGGAGAGTTTAGCCCAATATTATCAAATAAAGGTATTACATGCCATTTTTTAACCCTTTTGCCATTTGCTACCCGTTATTTTCCATTATGTGGCACCGTCTGCCATATTCGCCATAGCACCTGCCATATCTGCCATGACTTTGTGGCACTCATGGCTGAACTTCTCATCTTTTCTTTTCTTCTCTTGTCTTCCCTCTTGTGAAACTCCTAAGTTGCGACCAAATAACTCCGGCGAGCCTTCTCAGGCCACCATCCTCATTGGTAACCTGAACCATGGTTTGCCTGAGCTCCGGAAATATTTTCAGGAAACAAATCCGGTGACCCACAGTAGTTTTTTTTCTTCATGTTTGTTTTTTCTTATTCCTTCAATTTCTTTCTTTATCTCTGTTTGCTTTTAATCTTTTCTTCATTTCTTCAAATGCTCCTCATCACTTTTTCTCTCTTATTCTCTGTGCGACTGTTCTTGTTCTTCATCTATTCAATGTTTTTGTGCTCTTTTTTTACAAAATTTTGGAATTTTGTTCTCTGGTTTCTAGAATTTTATAATCATGTTCTCGGTTATGTTGTTCTCTTCCTTCTTTATTAAACCTATAATGTTGTCCCCAACTCTTCTTCACTTATAGCACAATATTAAGCAATAAGCACCCAACATTAAAGTCATGCATCCTAAAAATATTTTTAATTTTTAAATTTTTTTGTTTTTAATTTATATATATATATATTATATATTATTTTTCTCCACCACGCCATCCACCATATGTTCATGACAAAATTTTGCTCACCACCACCGTTATCTGTTATTGATAATCTTGGTTTATCCCCTTAAATAAATAAAATTACCTCAAGATTAGTTTTTTACTCATGGCTAGGGATACTCCAGTTTCACCTAAAACAATATGAGTTAATTACCTATACACTGTCAGTGTAAAGTTTTTTTACACTGGCAACCAATTATATCTTTTAATTGTGTCATGTCACTGTTAAAAGTAAATATATTTACAGTGACATGACACAATTAAGAGATATAATTGGTTGCCAGTGTAAAAAAAACTTTATAGTGGTAGTGAATAGGTGATTAACTCAAACAATATATATGTTCTTCACTTTTTCATTGTTTCGGCTTTGATTGGGTCATGTCTTCCTAAATTCCATATTGTTTCAATTTCAAGATGATGTTATCGGCAGCAATGAGCTGCTGTGTCTCCAAAAGCATATTACCTTATGGAATTAAGACCTGAGACTCAAATTATTTATTCATAGTTCTTTAAATTTGCCTATTATGTAATTCAACTTCCCCTGTTGGAGCAAATTTTGTTCTACATACACGTTTGCAAAGGCCATAGATTATAATTTCTTATTGTATGTATTAATTGAGAACTGAGAAGTAATGTTTTACGAGTTCTCAGTGTATTAAATATTTGAATATTGTACTTTTATTGATTTGTTAAATACATTATCAAAGTTTTTTACACTCTAACTAATGACCTTAAGATACTCGTTAATATAATAGGATTCTATATTGAAATTCCTCCGTGGTTCCTTCTTTATAATTCTAATGCTACTTGTAAATTAGAATATTTCCTTGTTTAAAAGTTCAATATCCCCCAAAAATGGTTGATCATGGGCTATAATTTTGAGAGATTCATATAATATTTTTATAATGATTGAGAGACATTTAATTTTCCCGAGTAATCCAATGAAAACTTTTGGGAAGCATGGCCTGCAGTTCTATGAAAATCCACTGGTGGATCTTTGTTCTTATGGCTTATATATTCTTGTAAATTTTGTATTAACAATGGCTAGTTCTGTGGTCTTGTATTGTTCTGTGTGAAGGATAATATGATAGAGGCTAATCCAGGAGATGGTCCCGATGAGGTAACACCTGCCCGATGCTCAGAAAGTGCCCTTATGCCTTGCTTTAAAACACAAATTTCTGATGATACACCATTAACTAATCAGGCCATGGACACTGCATCGGCAGCCAGTGAAAGTGATTATGAACTTTCCAGCAACGGTGTGTATACTGTATCAGCAGCAACAAGTGAACTTGGTACTGAACTCCCCAGCAAGGGTGTGGAAACTGTATCAGCAACAAGTGAACTTGGTAGTCTACTTCCCCTCAAGTCTGTAGACATTTCATCAGTAACCAGTGACCTTGGTAGTTAACCTTTTATCAAGGCTGCCATCAAAGAAGAAAAAGAATATGGTTATCAACTTCTATTTTCCTTATTATGTTTTTAATCCCTAAACGTTTGTCATTTTTTTTTTATTTCCTGAACTTTTGTCATTTTTTTTTAGTTTTTGATCAAATTTTATTTAGTTTTAGTCTCTAAAACTTTTCTTCATGAATAAAAAAATATGACGAAAGGATCAAATGGAAAGAAAAATTTAAGGACAAGTTAAAATTAGTAAATGTTTAGAGTCTAAAATTAATATTAAAAAAATGGTTTAGAGATTAAAAACAAATATTGACAAAAGATCATCTACTTAAAAATATATATAATCCTTCTCTAAGTTCGGTCAGAAGCAAAGGTTCAGAACATAATTAAACGTAATTGTGATTAATTATCTTGTGTATTGCTGTCTTGCAGAGTGTCATTCAGCATGAAATTTGTCTTTGGTCGAAAACCATGGATCAAAGTCCCAACAACTAGTGACGAAGCGTAGTCACCGTAAGCGTAAACCCTGCTATGGCTGGATTAGTGATGACGACGAAGAGCTAATAGTTTTACCTCTCGCTCCGCTGTCAATTGCATTTACACCTTAAAGAAAAAGGGGTAAATTAGTGTAAAATCAGGATCGGGTGTTACATATAGGTAGTAGAAGAGGACTACCCTCTTCTAAAATGAAGAATATAATTTTAGTCGTTGATATTAAAGTAATTATGTTCATCTAAAACAGCACAGGGTATTGCGTATATGTTGAAGAAGAGTTGACCTGACAGGGGATGAGCTAGTCCACATTGGTAGTTTTATTTTTGGGTGAATACTAAATACATTATACAAGTTATATGATATAAGATTCACATACTTGAGTTGACAATATTACAAAAAAAAGATCACTTTATTTAATTAAATGATTACTGTTCAAATTTTGACTCTAGGTGTCTATCAAATTTTATAGAGATTAGTTTATATGTTTAACAGGAATATTCTTTAACAATAAAAAAAATGATATAAAATTTGTTTTAATGCGATTAGTAACTTTAATTGATCTGGTTTTAATTACCATGAAGATTACATATGGATTAAAGTACATTGTCATGAAGATTACATATTTATTAATGTGATATTCGGTTAAAAATTAAAATATCATTTTATTCTTAATTTATTTAGTCTTAATTTAAAAATTTTCTCTATTTCACTATGAAAATATTGAGAATGTCAATTAAACTTTGGGTAAAAGATACATTTTTATTACATATTTGTGGGTTGTTTTTTCTTAATAAAAACATGTCTAGTGTTTAATTTTTTTTAAACCATTTTATTTTCTCAACTATCAAAGAAGATGTGTATTTTTATTACAAAGTAACATTATAAATTATTAACTATTAAAAAAGTATTTATGTTTTGTATGATAACATGTATTGCGATGATAATGATACTCATTTTGGTACTTTTTTAATTAAAATATATTTTTGGTCTTTTATTACATTATTAAAAATTATTTTAGTCCTTTAACTTTATTATGTACCAATTATTTTTTTAGGATAATCGATTATTTTATAAGTCACTTTTGAAATAATTAATTATTTAACTAGATAATTGATTATTACTATAACAATTTTCAAATTACTAGAAAATAGAATAATTAATTGATTATTAGAGATAATAAATTATTTTGAATATAAGCTTTACACTTTGATTTTTCATATTAGATCTTTTTTAAATCAATTTTAAACCTTACATAAAACATCAACCATTAATATAAATGAAGAATCATAAACTAATAATGATTTAGCACTTAACCAAGTACAAAATAAAACATACACAAAGTAAAACATACAACAAATTACAACTTGCACTTTTATTTCTCAAAAGGTTACTTATAATACATTTGTAATCATCAAAACAAATAAGATCTTCATTTTAAACTTGATCAAGAGATTGTTGTGCATATGTGGTTGACTTGGTTTGTTGTGTGATAAGTATGTTATGATGATGATGTGGATTTTAGTTGGATTGTTGAGTTAAACCTAAGACATGATGATACAATTTATTGTTTATAGTTTATGTTGCATATGTTAACTCTTTAAGCTTTAGCTTACCCTTGCTTGTTTTCATGTAATTAGATTGAGATGATCATACCTAGCATGAGATCAGAGTAGAAATATATATAAGGAGGTGTGTAGAGAAGACCATTTGACAAATAGTGGCATTTAATGTTATTTTTGCACTACTTTTGTGTAGCCTTTGTATAGATGTTGCTTGACTAACAACATAGGTTGTATATTAGACATTTACTGGATTATTATATTTATAATATTTTATATTTGTATAGTTGTTTTACATTTATATGCATGTTATATGGTATATATCTAGGTATTTGCAAATATATAACCCAAAATGAATAGTTGTTTTTAACTGCTAGTTATTGAGTTGACAGTGTAAGGATCATGACAGATCATTACATTTTACATTGTTCATAATTAGAATTAGAGATTAAAAAAAAAAAAAATTACACTAATCTCCCTTAGTGTCTTTTCAAATGACACATTCCTCTCCTCTAATTTTTAGCAAGCACTAATCTCTCTTATTTATTTATTTAAGTGACACATACAATCTTTTGTATAAGATAACATCATTTGTACATTATTTAAGAGAAAACAAATTATTAATGCAAGTGACAACATTTAAATGAGATTTAATCTCTTACTCAATTTTAACTCACAAAACATGTTATAAATATCATGCATATTGTAATTTAAAAAATATATTAACTCCAAGAAAAAATTTCAAAGAACAAATATAAAAATTATTATTTTCAAAATTGAATAATAATAAAAATTTTCAAAAAGAAAATAAAGTATCGTACACAATCGAAAAAATAGATACACGTATGATTGATAGACTATGAATTGACTTTATTTTATTTCTCTCTCACTTTAATTAATGTTATTATTCTTAGAAAGATAAATGATTTTTAATAATTAAAGAAGAGATATTATTGTAAGAAAGATATTAGTCATTTAATTAAACCTGAAAGAGGTGATTACAATTAAAAAAAAAGTTTGTGAAATTGAGAGAAATTTATGGTATAAGGGACATAATTTATTATTGAAAGAGAGAATTAAATATTAGAATTGAAGCATTATTAATTAAGTAAGTAATGGATAAAAGAAAGTTAATGAGAAAATCATGGATGATGAAAAAAAGTGTACATGAGTTCCACGTAGACTATTCATGAGACACGTAGGTTCCCATGTCAACATCGAATCGACGCGTTCATGTAGCGCGGTGATCGTAGCGTATCCAAGTGTGCGTGGCATTTTCGTTATTTAGCGAAAGTGAGAGGGCATTTGTTTACCGGCCATTCCAACGCTTCTTCTACTCGGCCAAGTTATTTTCCCTCGCAACACTTCCCTTGACCCTCCGCACAGAAAAAGGGGAGAACACAAAATTGAAGAGAAAAGGAACCACTCAAATAGATTCATTCATTCAGATTGCAATTTCGCTTTGATGAGTGAGAGAGTGAAGAAGGAAAAGCAAACGGAGAAAAAGGAGAGGATGAAAAACATCTTCAAGAAGCTTCACATAGGTGGCAACCACGATCCTCATCGATCCAACGAGGTTTCGCCGCCTGTGCCCTCGCCGTCATGCGCCGCCGACCACTCTCCGAGCTCTTCCTCCGCCGCTCCGCCGAGTCCTTCGACTTCGTCGCCGTCTACCGCGGTGGTCACTCCCGGAGGAGGCGGCGGCGGCGGCGGCGCCAGCCCGGTGGTGAATCGGCAGGACTATTTCTCGTCGGAGGAGGAGTTTCAGGTACAGCTAGCCCTAGCTATTAGCGCCTCCAATTCGGAGTTCCGCGACGATCCTGAGAAGGATCAGATCCACGCGGCGACGCTGTTGAGTTTGGGAGGCCACCGAATCGATTCGACGAGGAACAGGGATGACGTGGCGGAGGCGCTGTCCAGGCAGTACTGGGTAAGCCCTTGCTCAATTGTTGAATTCCGCTTCTGGCAATGTTGCTCTTTCGTCGTGGTTAATTGTAGAGGTTTATGCAGAGTGTGTTTTGCATTAAATTGTTGTTAATTTGTGCTTGTAGTGAGTTCAGTTGTGTTTTGGAACTTAGATTCGGGGCTTTATATGTGTCTAGGGCTAGCTACTCGGGTGAAGTTCGAAATCGGCTTTTGATCAGTTAGGTAAAATTTGGTTTATGCTGAAAGCAGACGGAACTCAAATAGAGTCTCAATTTTGATTTATTGCCTCTTAGCAGAAGCTGTTTGCCCAGTTTGATCTTAAGAGTTATGTGAATATCTCTCTGTTTATAGTATGGAGTGATTGATTGGGCAAACTGAGGTTATGCGATGTTGAAGATTTAGGTGCGTTTTTGGAAGTGCAATATATCCCTAGAAATTAGAAATGTGGATCACTTAGAATCAGGGGTTCTTGTTTGATGTTGAAAAAAAAAAAAGCAAGATGAAATGCTTATGACTGAATTGTGAAACTGGTGCACTGGCAAACATTTGTTAAGACTGTTTTACGTTTTTACTATATGATGAGATGAATTTTCTGCCATAATCAGCGTTTGATTGCTTTATAGTTGCTGTGTCTGTGATTGATTGGCTTTCTGTGTGGATATTATTTTCTTTTTTTTATTATTATTATTGTTGAAAATGGAATGCTGACCACTTGTTTCTACTTCATTGATTTTTTTTCACCTTTTCCATTTATTGCTCGCTTCTTGATCCATACCTGTTTTGATTATCTTGCATTTCTATTTTGTTGACCAGGAATATAATGTGCTTGACTATGAAGAGAAGGTGGTAGATGGTTTTTATGATGTATATGGGCAATATAATGATTCGGTAATGCAAGGAAAGATGCCATCTCGAACAGATCTTGAAGCAAACCCTGGAGGCTCTGAGGTGGTCATTGCTAATCGAACAATTGATCCTGCTTTGGAAGAATTGATACAAATTGCACAATGTATTGCATTAGACTGCCCTGTCGCTATTTTAGTACAAAGGCTTGCTGAACTTGTTACAAATCATATGGGTGGTCCTGTAAGGGATGCTAATATTATGTTAGCCAAATGGACAGAAACAAGAGCAGAGTTAAGGACATCACTTCACACAATTGTATTGCCTCTTGGATCCTTAAATATTGGGCTTTCTAGGCATCGTGCTTTGCTTTTCAAGGTTAGTATTATGGCTTTTATTGGTAATTAAAGTCTTGTTAGCCATAATGTAATTTATTGTTAGGTTACTCCAGTTATAATCTTCACTAAAAGTTTAAACAAAACTACATAAGAAAAAAACAAAAAAAAAACAGTGTAACATTATATCTGCATTAACTATTAAATATTTAGATCACTTGAAAACATTTTTGAAAAGAAATTATCAATACATTAATTAAAGTATTAATAAAAGTAATTCAGATAGTTTTCTTCAGAATTATTCATGCCAAGTAAATATTCCCTGGTAATCTGCCTGGGCTTGCATTGAGAAATATATTTGATGCAAGTGTGCTTAACTGGAAAAATGAGAAATTCTACTAAATTTATCAAGATTGAGCCATCAAACTTATGGTTGACTGTGCTCATCAATACTTGTAAAACTTCTGCAGGTTTTTAACCTTAGGATTTTTAGCTGTGATGTAGTTGCAAAGCTAGTTTTGCATATTGAGATTTCAGAATAGACCTTCCAGTTCAATTTAGTATTATTTGTGTGCATTTTTAGATATCTTATTAAGGTTAATTATGAATTTTATCAGGATTTGCTTAACTTTTCTTATTGATCTATTGGTTATGTAATATACTTGTTTTTTCTGCATTCAGGTATTAGCTGACAACATTAATATGCCTTGTAGACTTGTAAAAGG